ATCCCCATGCTATTGTGGGAATAGTCTAAAGAGAGGCAACTGGAAAATAGATTCAACTGCTTTAATATGCAAATCGTAGAGGCTAGCTAGACACAGTATGCAATTTTAGACTGTCCTAAATGTTTGTAATTTCAGTCTTGGAGCTTATTCTGATAATGGTTTCAACCATTGTCAACACAATTTCAAGAACAGGAAGTTTATTACGTAACCAGGGCAAATTTGTGAAATTCAGCACTTTAATGCAACTGTATAAATAGAATAGACAGTAGAATGGAATGGAATAGAATAGAATATTCTTTATTGGCCAAGTGTGATTGGACACACAAGGAATTTGTCTCTGATGCATAAACTCTCAGTGTACATACAAACAACATTGTGATAAATCATAAGATATCACTAGGAGAAGGTAACAGGAAAAGTGAGGATGATAGTAATACAGCCCTAATACATAGATAAATATTCTTAGGCACAAATCAGTGCTGTGGGAATTAGGTGTTTAGCAGAGTGATGGCATGGAGGTAAAAAACTTTGTGTCCAGTTGTTTTGACATGCAATGCCCTATAACAGGGGTGTCAAACTCGCATCATCATGCTGTTGTCAGACATATTGTGACTTTCCCCCCCTTTGCTAAACCCAGGCATGGCCAGTGTGTGACAAATCCACAAAATAAAATCATGTTTAGGGTTAGGAGAATAATCCTGTTAGTGCAAGTTGATTATTAGATAATATATAACAGTGCTAGTTTATAGATGAATTTGAACTTTCAAAAATCCATTCAGCCTAGTCTACGCATTGGTTAACACTGATGTTAGCCAAGAGGTACACTTGCCTGTTTAAAAACCTGTGAGATGCTTTATTCAACAGGCAGATAAATCCATTTGAAAATCTCATTGATCTTGAACTATTAAGTGGCTAATGTGGAATTGTGATCATTTGTAGGTGGATTTGGCCACCAGAAAAATGTTTTTCAGCTGAGGCATCACACAAAGGACTGTACTGTGGGCAGAGCAGTGGAACCAAATAATTGGTGCAAAATCTGGCAAGACAACAGACCTTAATCCTGAGTTAAAGGTAAAAAGGATAAAAATATCTCAGCTACCAAATACTGAACATGAAAAATCTTCATTTTTTTTTCATCCTATAATTGTAGCAATATTGACCCTAGGAATTACAAGTGTGGTATAGCATTTGTTGGTATAGTTCCATCCATCGAAGAATATTTTCTACATGTTGAAATACAAGATAAACTCAAATCACTTAGGAAACCATGTGAAAATGATTTGTTTATCCATTTTCACTGAAGGTTTACTAAAGTAGGCCATCTCTGGAAGCTCAATTAATTCACAAATTGATAAAGATTTAATAGATTTAAATTTCAATTCATGAACTTTCTTGGCAAGGTTCTGGCTTAAGTTCCCACACTTTATTGGCACTATATTGTTGCTGGAGCTTTAATCTGTGATCTCCAACCCATTTAAGAAAGTGCACTTACTTTTATTGGAGTATTTTCAGTTGACTTCAGATCACCTCCTTTCACACAGTTAACAGTTTTAATAATGTCAACAGGGAAAGTAATTTCAGTGTAAATGGAGTATTTGTTGGTTCAGATGACATCTTAAATTGGTTTCTGAGGAGAGACTGAACAGTAAATTAAATTTAAAGTAGGATTAAGATTAGCCCCAAAGGTCAAAATCGCTGGATTGGATACTATTTCCTTGTTAACCTATTATGTACATACATGTTTCCCGAGTCTTTTGACAGAAATGTGTAACCTAAAGTACACATTAATAGCTAGTATAACAATTGGAGAGAGACACAAACACAATACAAGTATTCCCTAGGCAGAAAGAATAGCATTTATTAACAATTAACACAAATATAAAAATCACTATAACCCACAGATACCATTATTGTATGACATTATACGGACCAGTTACTTAACTGCTTGAATGTGGGTTAAGTCAGCAATAAAATGGATAATAAAATACTATTGCTAGCTAAAATAGCTTCCTTGTCTAATTAAAGATAAATGGAAGAAATACCAAACTACAGTTCAAGAAATGCAGAGAACATTTATCAAAATGATCAAAATGCCTATTATCTATTTTTCTCCCCTATACATTAAAAATAATAATAATAGAAAGCTGCTGAAGAATAACTCAATGAAAAGAAAGGTTATGTTCAACACTTCATGCAGATAATTTTTATTTCCCCATTCTCTTCAATTGATCTTCCCATTTTTAAAAATGTGAGCAAACAAAATTTCTCATCCTCAATATGTTTCAAAGGGGGAAAAGTACAGTCTCAGAAACTATGGTTTTCCAGATTTTGGTAAAATACAACAGTCAGGATCTTCATTATCTGCCAAGTTAATCAATGGTTGTTTAAAAAAAGCTAATAGATTCACTATACCTGCACCAAATTAAATCAGCTTTCCACAGTCTTCCATTCTTCAGATTGTTTAAAAATTGAAACTCCTCAAATTGCCAGGTACTTCCCAGTTTAGTGCTCTCTCAGTGTCTCAGAGTGCAACTCTTAAAAAAGTATAAGCTATCATGGTGCAAACATTTATTGGAGATTCTGGGAGCTATAGTGCCAACTCATCTCAAAAGCAGTAGGTTGGAGAAAATTGCATTAAATTCTAGCTAAAGGATTATGGAAGTTGAAAGGACAGTGGCCTATAACTGCTTCCTTCATATTAAACTATTAGGGTGGCAGCAGAACGAATGAAGAGAAGTAAGTTCTGCTGAGAAGCCATATCAGCTGTCACCTGGCAGAAGTCATTATATCAGGTTCATAGCAGAGAAACTGAAGGAGACATGGCCACAATCAGCTGCAGCTTTATCACACTCCTATTTCCATCAACTATCACTTGTCACCAGCCATTTCATCAGGGAAGTTAAGTGAAACAGAGTTATCATCAACTCAGCTAAGAAGTCATCTTAATCAGATTTCAACATCCATCTTCTGTCACCTGGCCAGCAGAACAGAAGGACCATTCCTCTGTTTAAACCTTTTCCATCCCAGATAATTGTCATAAGATTGTTGTATTAAGAATGTAAGCCTGGGTGTACTCTTTGTTTTACTGTCCCAATTACCATTCCTTTTATATTCGGTCTTACATTGGGTCTTTTTAGAGTTCAAGCCTTGAGAAACAAAATTGATCTTTGTAAACTAATAATAGAAATGTTTTCTACCTTTTGTCTAACAAGGACAGAAATCCTAGATGCAAATACATATCAGACATTCCATTAGTGAAATTGAACGAAAAGATCTTAGATCAATTCATGGCTTAAGATAAATAATGATTTTTTGGCATATCCAAAGCTGTTAATGAGCTATCAGATTCTTTTAAAGATAGTTTGATAATGATTAAGATGAAAGTGGACAATTTTAAATTTCTACTGTACGTAAAGTAATAATGAACATAATGTGTTGTTCTGAAGTGTAACTCTTTTGAATGTAAAGAAAAATAAATGTTTTAAAATAGTTTATTAAAATTAGATCAATATTTTTTTCCATTAATGCCAGCAACAAAAAAGTTTAGATCTTTGGTTTTCTGTGCAACCCAAGATATTTATAAATTACCTATGTGTATCATATTTAATTTATTGGTCTGCATGCTGTTTATAAATTCTGGGAATTGTAATCTCAACATATCTGGAAGCAACCATATTCTAAATTCAACCCTAGATATTTTCTTTAGATTGAAATTCTAGCACACACTTCTGTAAATGTCATGCTTTAGATCAATGAACTCAATAAAAGCCATTCTTTCATTCTATGTGTATAGCATCTTCTCTATACAAAAGAATGGAACACAGAATTGTTGGAGAAAATAATGATTTTCAGAATTAATCAATAATATAATTAAAATATTATTTTTGTTTGTGCATGCTCAGCTATAAATCTTTTCAACTCCTTTTGCATTCCTTCTAGGCCAGGGGTTCCTAATTTTTTTGCCATTAAACTTCTCTTTGGTATAACCTTAATGTACACATTCCTCTAAAAATTAAATACCAAAACGAACAGAAATGAATAAGGAAAACAGTACAATGAAACTTTGCTAAAGGTGGATTTATTGTAACAATGCTTGTTACAATAAAATTATAAAAGGTTCTTTGGGTTTCCCCTAGATTGACTTCAGCACCTCAAGGCTGGTACATCTGACAATTTAGAAAACCAAGCCCTAGATTTTTAAGTGTGTACACAAATATTATTTTTGAGATTCAGAAAGATTGCAACGGATTAGAAAGTCATGACTTTGCATTAATTACAGAACAAGAAATAATCTTGTTGTTTTTTTTCCAGATGGGTACCTTGGTATGAAAGCAAAATGCTGCTTGAAATCAATACAAAATTGAAAAAGCCTTCTCCTACGAGTGATATTTTGGCTGCTATTTCTCCACTAGCGGATTACTTTTTCACTTTATTCCGGACAAAGAACCTTCTACAGGTGAACAGAACATTCTTATGCAAATCCACTCAAAAGGAAATCCTGTTCTTCCCCAAAGGAGTCATTCCAGTAATGACATACCACTGCAGCCAGGATAAATTCCCGATTATTAAAACCTTTAATCCCAAATCGTGGCAGAATTAGAAGATGGCAAACCGAGCCAAAGTGGTGGAGAACTAAAACCGGGGAAAGCATAGTTCAGCCAATCAAAGAAGCTCCTTTCGTATTCAAGCATTCTATCGAATAGAAATCCCCAAAGACTGAAGCTGCCATGGACCATTTTTGATAGTGGAAAAGAATTTAAGACTCAAGTCAAACTTAAGAACAGGAAGCCCACACTAAATATGGAGATAAATGCAAAATTGGAATCACGTGCTGCGACACTTGGCAGTCAGGAGTTTTTGTAACCATAGAAATGGGAACTTTTGCAGTAACGTAACGTACTCCGGTGCTAAAGGCACACATGCGCAATACTACTTAGGATACGGGAAATGACTGTTGCAGAAGCTGGCAGAGTAGCTCCGCCCCCTAGCTTTATTAACTAACTTCCCGGAGCCGGGAAAGGGGTGTGGTTAAACTTTTCCCCTGCCTTCGTTGTGTAAAGGGTTCCTGTGCGACCACCTGGTCATGATGCAGGGCTTGCCCGCCATCCCTGAGGAGATCAGTAACTTCCTTGCAGGTGAATGTGCCCTGAGCGGCTGGGAGGGAACTTTTGCAAACGTGGCGAAACTAGGGAGCGCTTTGGTAGAGGCAGTGTAGTACGGCTACAGGAGAGTAAGGAAAGAAAAGGGAAGGTAGAAGAAATGGAGAAGTGACTTCTGGGGCGGGAGTGATTGCTTTTTGGAAGGGAAGCCGAAGATCTAAACTTGAGGATTTTGTTTTACAAGTGTAATAATAAAAAAAGGGGGTAAGAGGGTCATCAAGAAACTTATCCTAGAGGACCAGCTGGGTGGGCTGATGCTTAACTGTTCGTTTGTTTAAATATTTGGTCAAGAACTTGCCAAATACTTCCCTGACTTGGACTAGGAAAAGCTTGGCATCAGAATTCATCAGAAAATCTGCTTTTATACTCTTGCTATCTTATTCTGGGGATACATTCTTAAAGTCAGTTTGGTGTAAAGGCCCGTGAATAAAGTGCAGGGGTAGGAATCAGGAGACTGAGGCATAAAAAACCTGGGTGATTTTAGTCATTAGTCATCCAACCCACCTCACAAGGTGGTTGTTGTGGGAAAAACAGAAAGGCAAAGTATGTTATGTTTGTTCAATGCCTTGAATTACTTATAAGATAAGGTGGAATAAAAATCTAATAAAGTTTTAATTTAAAAATAATTTGAATTTATTAAATGCTGATGCTATACGTATGAAGAGTCTAGCTAACATGAACTTAGAATGGTACTGTAGAAGCATCATAATATTTGGATAAGTCCATCTGGATTCCTGATTTTTTTTCTTCTTGAATCAATGTCCATACTGCAGAATTGGGGCTTTGTTTCACCCGGAAAAAAAGAAAAGAGAAGCCTTTGACAGTTCCATATTTGCTTACATTTTCATAATCTTAAAATAGATTGTTCTGTGTTGTATTTCCTGTCTCACATTATACCAGACTGAAAGCCACCTAGTTTTTAAAAACACATCTCCTTTTGTCAACTATATGCTTTTAAATGAAATAAAATCCCCTTTCTATTGGTGACTCTGTTTTGTATTTATGCCAGCACTAATTTTCTATCATACATTTGGCTGAAATTATACCCATGTATAATGAAATACATTTTTCTAAAGTCAGTGGGCTCTTTCTCTAAGAAAACTTGTTTAATATTATTCAGTAAATAACTTTATTTTTGTCTGCCACTATCCATTACATTGAAATTTTATTGAAACACATATATGGGCCTGTAAACACTTTGTTTAACTATTAACTTTACTACATGAATTGTCTTAATCAAGAACCAACTACATTAAATATATGAAATAATTATGAATGGTCTGGATTAGTGTGCATCAACAATTCTCAGGCTTTAGTTCCTTTAAAAAAACATGAAAAAATATTACATGCCAAATAAGTGTTGATCAATTATATCTCAGTCAACAGTTATTCTGTAGATTGAAAGATTGCTTGAGTATACTTTTAAAAAGTATTTATAGCTCTGGCAAGATATGGTTGTGTCAGCTTTTCAAGAATTCCTTCCAGGATGCCAATAGAAATAGATCTAATTTCATAAGTCTTTCATACCAGGTAAACATTAGAGTTGCATATGTTTCAAAAATTATCTTGAATAAGTGCCTTTGGATCCCAGGCAAACACTACACCGAGACATGAAGGCAGGCTGATTCTTTTCAGGGTTCTGAGCAAGCCTGAAACAAATGCTTCTGTTTCTAACAGTAACTCTTAAAGCAGTGGCATCTTATTTCCAGACATGAAGTGAAAACATCGGGCTGTTGTAATAAATAGCAGAAGAGTGTGGTGATTATGTGGGATCTAAGGCACTTATTATTATTAATCATTTTGGAAGGGTGCTGTAATGGAAACCCTTCAAGTTCAGTTCCCCCAGACTACATGGAAGTATATGTTATCCTTTTCCCAGCAACCAGAAGGAAGTCTCCTTTTTTAAGAATATTTTTGATTTTCCAAACTAGTTTACAGTCTTGGAGGCCTCCTGATCAAGAACTAACTGGGCCTTACCCTTAGCTTTTTGAGATTAACAGAGCTAACCCGAGAACTGCTATATGTTGTGATTGGGACTTTTTAATCCTTGAATGAATCAGACTTTGATAGAGTCATACAGCAATTATTCTATTATTCATGGCCTACAAACTATAATTTTTGGTTTTGCACAGTACATCCAAAGTAACCATATTATTTTAATTTGATGTGCTAACCCACCCCATATCAAAACACAGCTTGCTTTTTTGAGACTATATGATTGCAATCTATTTGCCAGAAAATAAGTTTAATTTTGAATGTATATATGTGTGTATATTATACATATACACATTCAAAATTAAACTTATTTTCTGGCATATACATATATTCAAAATTGAAATTCCAAATTAAAATGGCTTTGTATGATAGGTCTTATCTTTTGTTATTATTAAGTGTCCAGCTTTTCTCTGAGTGGAGTGTTCCATTTTCTGACTTCACACTAAGAAAATCTAAATCTATGATTCTCAATCTTGGCAATTTAAAGATGTGTGACCTGAGCTCCCAAAAACCTTCAGCCAGCCACTTTGACTAACGGACAATAGGAGCATCGTATTAAAACTATGAGCAACCTTTCTGTCTTTTCTGGGTATTACTGTTAACCGTGGTCTTATTAATATGACTTGGAGAGAAATGAATGAATTAGTTTTAAATTGATAAAAGTTAAAAACAAGCTAAAAATTCTCATGATAAATGATTGAAATAAGTCCTCACTTAAATACTTATATTGTTGGACTAATTTTTATAAGTCCTAATTGTTCCTAACAGTGGACCAGTTAGACATTTGTTTTCTCCAGATCTCTGTCCATTCTTTCCTTTCATAGTTCTCATCAGTATTGTGCTGGATATGTAATAATAGGAACAGATTGATAATGAGAAACCAAACAGAAAAAAGCTACAAAGGACTAATTTGTACTAATGCATGATATTAATTCAGAAGTTTTTAACTTTAATTTGATGAACCCTTGATATTGACCTGGTTTGCTCATAACTCTAATAGTGGTTTGGCTCACTTATCACTGTATGTGAAATGTTTAATGCATTACAGTTCAACAATAAGTGCAAATCTGTTTAATCTGTGATTGTAGGGTAACCCTCAATACAATAGTTACAATCACAAAAAATTAGTCAATATTTTGAAGATGCTTAATTTGTCTGGAATATTACTTCACAATACAGAATAACAGAGTTGGAAGGGATCTTGGAGGTTTCTAGTCCAACCTCCAAGTAGTAGGAGACTCTATATCATTCTGGACAAATTTCTTCATAAAAATCTCCAGTGAGCACCCACAACTTCTGGAGACAAGCAATTCGCAGTTTACCTGTACTATTTAGACATCCTTGTCCGGATTATCTAATGTAGGAGTGTCAAACTCAAATTTTATTGAGGACCACATTATGGTTGTGTTTGACCTTAGGGGAGCGTGGCCGTGGCCAGATCAATGTCACTCGTGTCAGGGGCATCTGTGGTGGCCAAGTGCTAAGCAGGACTTCCCTGAGAACCTTACTCTCATAATATTCCTCCTTCCCTCCCTCCCTCCCCCCCTCCCTTTTCTTTCCTTCCCTCTTCATTCTAATTTCTTCCTTACCCTCTTTCCTTATTTTTCCTTCTTTGCTCTCTTCCCATCTTCCCATCTTTTTCCTTGCCTTTCCTCTTTCCCTTTCTCCTTTTTTGCCCCTTCTTCCATGCTCATATGCAAAAGAGGAAACATTTCCCCTTTTATTTTGTTTTTATTTTGTTTTGATAGCCCTCCACCAGTGAAAATGGAGCCTGGGGGGGGTGTCATTTACTGTGCCAGCCTCCTGTGGTCCCCTGCCAGCGAAAATGGTGCTTGGGGGTAAAGGCACCACGGGCTGGTCCTTTGCTGTTTTCAGGCTGGCCCATGGGCCAGATCTAAGGCCTTGAGTTTGATACCTGTGATCTAATGCAATGAACAAGTATTGTTTTAGTCAAATTTATTGATAAAACTTCTAAGATAATATTTCAGGCAACATAATGATTTACTGCTATTATTTATTTTTGCGAAACTCCAGATGCTTTTAATGAGCCCTGGCACCACCACTAGTCCTCATACATGATGACAGTATTTGATAATGCCATCATAGTTGATGTAAATGGATCTTAATTTTTTTTGGATTTTGGATCTTGTGCAAGCATAATTCTGCCGTGTATGTGAAAAAGGTGCCACTGCTTTAATTAAGCGAATAATTAGAGTAGCATATCTTTAATGCAACTCTAAAAAGTGGCATCTTTTTGCATGCTCAGGCAGAAGTCTTCCTGATAAATGACTTGCATGCTTTAACAAGGAGCAGAGAAATTCTGTATTGAGTTTGAAGGTCTTCTTTTGAATGATTTGTGAGGGTATAGGTTGTAGAGATTTGTGCAGATGTATAAGGGTAGATAAATTATGTACCTAGTTGCTCACGCACATGTGATATTCCCCCAAAATAACTGAAATGCAATAATAAAAGCTTGCCATAAGCATTCTCGGGTTCAACTTCTTCTATGCAGCTCATTCTTGCCTCTTAATTTAGAGTTACTACTTAATTTAACTTTCATGATTGTGAGTCATGAATATAGATTATCTATTTGAGCACATGAAATGTTTTAGCTGCCATGAGTATCAGTCACTCTCCTTTATTTCTCTTCACTGTGGTCCATTAATTCAATCTATCCAGGGTAGAATTTTATATTTTTTTACAATGAGATCTCAGACATAAAGATCACACTTTTTATAGTGTTTCATTTTCAGTCTGAGTATTACTGAAATGAATGTTCATTACAAAAGAATTTTGAATAACTGAAAAAGACATAATCATTATGAGAATATAATTTAAGCTGATTACCTTTGCAATTACTATTAAAAATATTAAAATGAGAAGAGAGACATTGAAATTAAAGAAGAGAACAGGGTTCCACTGACATTTTTTAAATAAGCTGTAGTATTACAAGAAGAGTCTTTTTCTTTTCTATGAGGGTATAGTGCCCCATATCAGGAATAAAAAGTGGGATATGATATTTTATACCCTTTCTGCCCCATTGATTTCTTTTAAAATTAATATTGAGCTAGTTGTGATTCTGTTGGCTTTTATTCAATTATTCAGAGATAATTTTGAATGAAAATATTTTTTTTGCTTAAAATACAGCATGACTCAATATCTAAGAAAAACATACTCAGTTTTTCTGAAATACGATGTATTCCTTCCTTCCTTCCTTCATTCATTCATTCCTCCCTCCCTCCCTCCTTCCTTCCTTCCTTGACATTTGAGTGCCACAAGACAGACCAGGAACATTAAGAGTCAATTTCTGCCAATGAAATAAAAGAATGAATGTTGACTCCAGGCCAATAACAGACTTGGGTTATACCAAATTTGTCAAAAAACACAATTATTTAAAATTATGCAGAGTTTATTTCTAATTAGTTATTTGGTTCTCTGCTTTGAGAAGAAACTTACATAAAGAAGTAATTATTTTAGAATCTTTTATTTAAGCTTAGAAATTAATCTTTTTGGTTGTCTAGGTATCAGTGCTCCCATTTACCAATATTTTTATTAATTTATACACTAATATCTTATGATTATGCATTGCACATTTTGTACCTAACCTTTTATGCAAAACCTAATATGAGCTCTTTCTACTCATATTCCATTGAGCTGTGACAATCACTATTCATGAAAATGTTTGAAGTGTTCTGTGCTAACTCAGATTAGGCATTAGCCCAACCATGCAGTGAATGTGGCTATGTATAACAACTAGCCTGTCTAATTTCAGCCTGCCATTAAGTGAATAATTGCCTCATTATGTGCAGAAAACCTATTCTTCAGTCAACTGAACAACTAGATTGCAATGATGCGAATTGAACTTATTATATAAGAAAAACAGTCCTGGGTGAGACCAAAAAGGTAATACAGCAAGCTATTTGTAACACGATCAGGCCTGTGCTTTTAGAGAACAAATAGGACAAATATCTCATCTTTTGTCCTTCAAAACCAGGTATTCAGGATAAACATAAAATAATTTATTATTTATGATTAAATAATTTATGATTATTTATGGCAATCTGCTACTAAACTGAATATTATTTTGCATAGCAAAACACACATACACTTATGAACATCTGATGCGTGACTGGGTCCTTGTATCAAAGTCATAATATGGTTTTTTGGCTTAGAATGTTGTATTGACACACCTATAAATATTGATAAACCATGGGCCCAGTATTATGTGTGAACCACCAACTGTGTATTTAACTGTACTTAACAACAGTCATAGTTTAATGCAATATCTGAAGCCAGCTGATAGGCTCCCCAGGTTGCATTACAGAGAATTATCTTTAATGGTACATACTTCTATTTCTATCCATTTGAATCTGACCACTGGGGTTAAATCCAGATTAAATTAATGTGTATCAAGGTAAAGTTCTTCATTAGAAGCTGTGTCCTGCTTGTGTACATGACTTTATTGCCATATTTAGTGATAGCTTTATACTGAAATTTACTAATTCTTTTTGTTTTGTCATAGATATTATGTTATTTTAGCATGCATATCAGCAGTTCTTCTTTGTACAAAGGATTCTGTAGATAGCTTTGAGATTTACTACCATTTTTCAGAGTCCAGCTTTTATACAAGGGCTTTAAGGATAGATAGCTTTAGCATGGAATAAGCTGGCAGTCAGTTTTGAAAATTCTGTTTTGTTAATAAAAGTGCCAAATAAAGTTTGATTCGGTGACAATTGCATATGGGTTGAAGCAGTTTATTATCTTCTAGATTTTATTCTTTGAGTAATGGGTGGGTACATATATTTTACATGTTTTGACAGTTTATAAAAACTTGTTAGGCATTTGTTCATTTAATGATAGCAAATTGTCAAAACGGCATTTGCTGTGCTAAGCATAAGCAGAGCTGTGAACAAATCTATTCAATTTACAGTTTGAAATATCTTTCAATTATTTTATGCCTGGAACTGATAAAGTAACTCCATTAAATAGTTTGGCTGTTATTGCTTCTTGAAAAAACTATAATAGAGGTATTTATCATCTGAAAATTAGTATTTCTTTTTTGACTCATCTCTCTCCCTTTATTCTTTCATGATTTAGATGTTGACATATTCATATCAGATATCCTAAAAGGTGAAAATTTATCCAAAAGAGCAAAGGAAAAGAGAGATGTCCTGATTAAGAAGATGAAAGACATCAGGTCCAAGTAAGTAATTATGCTTATATAAAATACATTTAATATACAAAAAAATATATGTTTGCAACCAATCTGTGGAATAGGCTATCCATATTATTTTTCTTTTATTAATAGAAAACTTTGAATAAATTAATAAAGGCTCCAATATAAATTAAAGCCTTGGCTTTACTTATTTACTTTACTTTACTTTTTACTTTACTTTACTTACTTATTTATTTGGGTTTATATACCATCATATTCTCATTTAATGTTCTAAACAAAGGAGACGGGAAACTCAAGCTCCTGTCATCAGCCTGCTCTTTTCTAATAAGTGGCAGAAGAAATATATCTACAGATAATCCTTGCTGATCACATGAATAAAATACAGGTGTTTGGCAACCATCTTGTACTTAAGACCAGTTGGCAGTCCTATCACAATTTACCATTTGTGATCTTCCCTGCCAGTTTCCCACAAGCGAAGTCAATAAGGAAGCTGGCAGGGAAGGTCATAAATCTCTTGGGTTAGTCTCTATCCCCCACATTCTTTGCTTTCCTCCTTTGCTTGCATGCACTGTGTCATCCCCTTTCATGTGCAACACAACCTTCTTCACCTTTTTGTTGTTTTCATCGCATCAACTCCCTCCTTTTCTCTCAGTACCCTCCTTCCCCACTTTGTTTGAATGCACTGTGCCTTCCACCCTCCTTCAACTACAATGTTCCCTCCTTCCCCTTTTACTTACACACTTCTTTCTCCCTTCACTCGTATGCAACTTGCCCTTCTTTTCCCTGGCTTTCCTGCATTTATGCTATTCTGCAGCAGCCCCATCTCCCAGTGTGCATGCAGTCTGCACTTGGCCTTCTCAAACTTTTCTTATCCCTGATGAACATTCCTGCGCTCCTTACTTCAGATTCCTACTGCTTCCCACTTAACAATCTGCACATCTTGGCGTTATGGTAGCAATGACTGTCTGGATTGCTGTCACTCAGTGATGTGACCCCATGATACGACATTTTGTGACTATATCACTTTGTAGTGGTCATCCTAGTCCAGACTGCCATTGCTGCTTGACGGCTGCCCATACTTCTATTCATTTCAGATTTGTCACTATTTACTTTTTCATCTAAACTTGGAAAAACCCCAACATTTGCTTTCATTTGTGAGAAATATGGGTGGCTAGTGCTTCAAACACTTAGGAATCTTTCATAGCACGTGAGGCATTGATTTATGAACAACTTTGCTTTCTATACTGGGAAGGTTTTTTTTTCATGCAGCCTATGATACAGACTACTGGTTAATAGAGATGGGCAGATGTATGGCAAAAGCATTCAGCAAACATGTTAGAGGTCTTAATCAATGACTGCCATCTAAGATTGGGCAAGTATAAAGCAGCTATCAATATACATGAGGAGCATTGTCTATCACAACTTGAAGAACTAGTCACCCACCTAGAGAATGTTGTTAGGATTCTTCTAAAGGAAACAATTGCAAGATAAAATTCAAAAGTTAAAATCATGCTCCTAAACCTGTATGATCCATGATTTATGGAACAAACAATTAAGCCAGCAGGAATTACAAATACTTGAATATGATGAGGAGTTTGACACATGTAACACCACACCAAGAGAATTCATAGCAGTGTTAGAATCCATATTCAATAGAGTAGAAATACAAGAGTCAGAAAAACATGCTATCAGACAAAAAACAATGGTGGTCACACACAAACCAAACAATGTGCTCAGCCAGGGGATCAGTGCACCTTGAAAGACCTGAAACAAGATCAAGACATTATTATTTTAACCACAGATAAAGGTCGTTTCAACTGTGATAATGAACCTTACATTTTATGAAATGAAGCATACGTCCTGCTCAATGATTCCTCAGCATGTAAACCAACAAAGACATCAGAGGTGAGAAAGACGATCCTACAATTGAATGCTTATCTCACCCGACTCAAAAAACAACAACTGTATAACAGAAATGTTGGAAAACAAGAGGAAAAGATGCTGCCTCAGGGAGATTTAATGGACTTCCAAGATAGACAAAATAGGAGTCTTCCTTAGAGCTATTGTAGAGCTATGAGATACCCAAACCTACAACTTGGCTAAATAGCTAGCACAATGCTTAAGCTTCCTGACCCCACCCTCAAACAGCACGGTCACAATATCCACACAAGTTTTGGCAAAACCACAAGGCTTAAATGTGATTCCTATTTACATCCATCCCCTCCAACTTAGCACATAGAATAAAAGATAAAAAACTAGAAGAATATATCACAGATATGCAATCTAACCAGGACAAAAACCATGAAGAATGAGGATGGGCTTATTCATGAGGCCAAAAGCTCGGAAGACTAAATTTCTGGTCCTGGTGGCCAACCCAGATTGGATCTTGCAATATTATCCTGGGACATATACATTTGCTTTCTTAAATGTAAAGTTAATTTTTTAAATATTGTTGCTAACCATATACTTCCTGTCTCACTACTCAGAATGCTTTAAAAAGCAGATTACATTTATAAAAATTGGTGGAATGAAAAATATAGTCTTTTTCTCTTCCAATTAAACATAGATAATTGATATAATGTCTAAAAAATTCATTAAGAAATGTTTACATTCATACAAAAATGTTCAGCAGAAATCTAGTGATACAATTAATTATGAATTAGAAGCTACTGGTATGTATATACAATCTACTTGCACAAAGGAAAGACTTCATTTTTTTCTGTCCATTTTCCATATGAATATATACCATAATGAAATGTCTAGCAGGTTTCAGAAACATGGAGAGGAAACAGGTCCAGTAGAAAAGGGATATCTCAGCTGTGTGGAGATAAGCAAGTATTAGAAAAAGACCGAAACGTAACTCTGCTAAGTATAGGTTGATCTGGAAAATAGGTTGAATAGGCTTTCAAGATTCTGTTCCTTTCCCTGTTAAAATAGAGACATTTCCAGAAATTCAACAAATTCTTGTTTTCTGAGTTTTTTAACCTTCTAGTACTTGACAGCAATAGCAGTAGCACTTAGATACTGCTTCATGGTGCTTTACAGCCCTCTGTAAGTGGTTTACAGCAGTGATCACCAACCAGTAGGGCAGGAACCACTGGTGGTCGCAAGAAAATTTTGGTGGTCCGCAGAGAATTGTCCTCCCCAAAGCACTCTTCCCCAAAGCAATTAATCCAGGCTGCGTGGGAACACAAGGCTGTGCTGTCCACATGGCCAGCCCACCTGCTGTCCCCCACCCTTCGGCTAAGCACAAACCTTACCTTGAGTAGAGCCATGCGTGCTGGAACTGGAAGGTAAGACCAATGGTGTGAGAGGGAAATCCGCCCTGGGATGGCTTGCTGACATTGGTGAGAAAGTTGGTCACATATTCCGGAGCTTCAGTAGTCACAAGACTGGCCCTTTGGTCATTCCGGAGCAGCTCCTTCAGTCCATGGCAGGCAGGTGCACCCAGGTGGAAGAGCAGCTGCTCCAGGATGACCAAAGGGCCAGTCCTGTGACTACTGCAATTCTGGAATATGGGACCATCTTTCCCATCAATGTCAGCAAGGTCCAAAAGGTTGGCGACCTCTGGTTTACAGAGTCAGCATATTGCTCCCAACGTCTGAGTCCTAATTTTACTGATCTCAGAAAGATGAAAGGCTGAAACAACCTTGAGCTTGTAAGAATCGAACCTCTGGCAGTGAACAGTAAGTTAGCCTGCAATACAATTTCTAACCACTGTGTCACCACGGCTCTTAACAGACTAAAAGGTTCATTACATTTCTGCCACGTTGGCTTTTTTCTTATCTGCTTTGCTTGGAGTTTGCTACAATCCTGGCAGTTTGTGAATAGTTCATGGTTTTTGGAATGATGTAATGATGGCTTATATTAGATGTCAGAAAGGTAACTTCAGATATTGTTAGCAAGACAGGTTTCTAAAAGTGTAGCTAATGAGTAATGTTCTGTAATTCAGTCAAGTGAATCTCATTGTCAAGAATCCCCACAATCCAGTACAAGATTGAATAGAATCATAGCGTTGGACAGGATCCTTTAGGCTATCAAGACTATTTAGAGCAGGAATCTCAATTAAAGTATCTCTGACAGATAGTTGTCTGCTTTATGAATTGATGCTCAAAGCAGTCTAGGTAATTAGTTCCATTGTTGATCTATAATTGTTGGGATTGTTGAAATTTCCTAATATTTGGTATCTAGTCTTGTTCTTCTTACGACCAATATTTACAGAAGCATTCGATAATCTGGAATTTTTGAAATGGTGCCTTCCTTATCAGCAATTAGCAATGCTGGAATTCTCGCTATATCCATTCTAGGATAACTATTTACTTAGTTGCATAAATCTTAGCATGAACCATTATGTCTTGCAAAATGACGCATTGCAAAGGAGCAAAGTAATATTTCTCTGGACTTTGTGAAATTAGATATGCTTTTGAAAGAAACTTGATGTGAGCTGAAAAGCTTTATCTATGTCTCACTATTCTTGTCAGATACATGGTTGATCCAGGTCATAGTTGCTTACAGTATTATATCTGACTGTTGTGCTTCTTGTGGTTGTCTGGAGAAGTGACAAAATAGATAAGCAAATAGAGGTTGTTGCCATAATGGATATGATTTATCACTGATAGCTTGGCTTTTTGCCAGCAAAACTTTCTTTCCTTTCAAGAATAATGCTTATCTTGGATGATTTGCAACTACGGCTATATCATTTAACACAAATAAATTGTATATTCTGTGCAAAGTTTTAAGAGCCAGACTTGAGGAACATAACAAAATGTACCAAACGGTACTAGAATAGTTGTGTGATGTGGATGGCTTATGGTAATGATAGAATCAGATTCTAGCCCAGGGATGCTTAGCACAATAAAAGTACAGTATCTATCCCTCTGTTTTTGCTCTTCCGTCTGGGTGGTGTTTACATGGACACAGTTTGTCGTCCATTGTTGTTTATTTAATTAATTTATAACTGCCTTCAGTGGAATGAGCATCTCTAGGCACATGCAATACATTAAAAAAGTAGGAAAAGTTAATACTTGCTCTTATTATAATAATAGCAGGGCAAGAACCATTGAATACCAGGAAATAATTCAGGACGATTTGGGAATCTGCATTAATAGGGGATATTATTTCCTGGTATTCAGTGGTTCTTGCAATGCAGATACACAAATTGTCCTGATACTTGGAATGATTTTAGATATCTCAATCTTAATCATATTGTGATTTTTTTTCAGAATAGCAATTTTTTTTCTATTTTCCATATTAATATATTAATGTTTTTAATTGAAGCTTAGGTGCAATATAGTCATTATTTCTTCATTACAGATATGCAACTATTAACCTCATAGAAGACTTCTTCAAACTTTAGATCATATTTTTGAGGTAGCGTTGCTCAAAGTGCTTTCCAATAATTAGTTGTGGACTATCATTTTGTTATCCTAAAAAAACATGTAGAGTTCTTTACATTTACAAACACTTACCATATCCTTTTCCCCCACCCTCTCTTTTTCCTTTCCTGCAGCTACCTACAAGAATTTCCTGAAATAGGTAAGAATTATTTCACATGCATGTAGCTTAAACTAATCTTAAGTAGATTCAATCATCTATTGAAAACTTAGACTGTGCACATATGGTATCGTTGAGTATGCTGGCTCCCCCTGCTGGAGAAAAACATGGAAAGCTCTCAATTTCCTTTTTTTAAAATATACATTTTACTGCTTTTATAAAATAAAAAGGCACAGTAACCAACAACTAAAAATTGGAAGGGAAAAAACTATTTCAAATGAAATCACTGGCTATTAGCATTTACAGTGGCTTAGAATGTTTTTCTAACATGAATTCTAAATTTAATAAAAGTGTTTAAAATATTCTCCACTTTGCTTGTTACAGCTGTTTTGGAAAAAAATCTTCAAAGAAGTCTCTTATAACAACTGATTATTCCTCTGCTGGACAAATACAGTGGAATTCTTAAGTCATAGTATTGCCCATTTACAGACATAATAGAACCAGGGGTATGGCACTTCTATCAGTGAATTTTCCAAGATATTTTACAAATCAAATTTTGACCCAGCAAAAGAAGTTTCTACTTCTGGATGTGAATTTTAGTTTCCACTTTCAATCTGGTTCTTAATATGTTTCTTTTGTACTTTTTTGTCTATGACTGCAAGTTTAAAGAACAGACAAAATGAAAGCATCAGCATTAGATATGTAAATTAGCTCTTAGAAAATATAAATTAGCTCTTTGGTCAAATAGTAGAAAGAATTTGTAGCAAATACAATGAATATTCTCTCCCAGAAAAGCTTGGCAACAACAGCTTGCTATCACATTTGAAAAAATCATAGTTTTATTTTAGTAGTTTAGAGTTTCAGGACAAGAATTGTAATAATGGGAAGCTGAAATGTGGTTTGCATATTATGTTCTAATGGATTTCTTGAAACAGACCTTATAATCTCATTAAAAATAGCCTGGTACAGTGGCCTGTTTTGAAGCTGAACCTGAGATGGCCCTTATTTTCATGATGCTAATTCATGAGGTCATGACCTGAAGCTTGTGAATGCTGGTACAAGGGTCACAGCATGAGGTCAAGAAAGCATCTGTGGAACTACAGTAGATCTCACCCCCACAAACACACACCAACTGGTAGGGCAACAGCCAGGAAGAGTAACATTTACTTTTTTCATTTTATGTCAGAGTTTATAGGCCTGCCATCAGACAGGATATTTTCAGGATAACCTACAAAGTTCAGCTTTAAAATAATAACTATGCTCTATTGTTTTTGGAACTTGTGTGTTCATTTTCAAAATTTTCAGAATTATTTCCAGGTATAGAGTGTTCCTAGAATTGGTTTGTTCACTGAATTTAGATGTAAAATAGAAAAGCTTTCTGATTTTCTAATGTAATCCAATTTGGATTTTATATTTTTCAAAGTAGTGATTAAAAAGTAAATATTAATTAGTATTTGCCTAAAGCCGTTCCACAAATTGATCCAAAATGAGGATAATTTTCATATACAAGAATCAGATTGTCTACCTAGATAGGCTAGTGAGATGCTGGTAGCAACATTTTTAAAAACAAATCTTTGACTGCTAAGGACCATGAGGGCATGATAGCATCATAGTGCCAAGAAAGGCAGTAAAATTAGACTTAGGGGTGGGCAAAATGGTTTGAACTCGAAACTTTTCATACCAATTTTGTTGAGAAGCATCCTGATATATGTTTCTAAACAGAAGAAAATGTTTCAAGCTTATATCGTCCTAATATTTAAAGTAAATATTTTGAGTTCAAAATGGAGATGCTTCCAGCTTGGAATGTTTCTGTTTAATGCAGTACAGATTTTGTTTTTTGTTTTTTTTAAATTCAGAGCATTTTAAAAGTTGGCATAATTTGAACACCTCCCACACCCTTTCACCCCTATTTGAATTCCTCTTAGCTTCAGCCAAGTTTTAGTTTGGATTTTTTTTCTCATCTTTTAGCAAACTAAAGACATCAGTTTTTCTTTATTTTCTTTATATATATTTTTAAGAACCTGTACTTCTCTTTTTGTTGCAATGTGATCATGGGAATGAGTATTGAATTGGAAAAAGGGTAATATTACAAAGACTGTCTAGTAATGTGTGCTTAAATATCAGGTTGGCTTTCTGATGTATTGTAATACACAAAGTGCATCAGCATAAAAGCATTCCTTCAAGCATGGATCTAACAACCTAGATCCTAAGCAGATAGTTTATTAGGGTAGACTCATTCATAAAATCTTATACATGCATATTCTTATTGCTTCCTGTGGAAAAGCTGTTAAAGCTATGAAAGTTGGAGATGTTCCTGACCTACTAAATGGAATATATCACCTTATGTACGGAGAGAGAGTGAATTTATTGCAGCTCATAGTTCTACTGTCATCCTGTTTCCTGGACCCATTACTCTTGCCCTTAGTATGCGAGTCAAGTGCTTTGCCATTCATTTATGTGTTTCTGTGCGTTGTTCTTTGTGTGCTTGGATTTTTTTAGACACTGGGTCTCCAAGTATAGTTTTCAAGGACAACAGTCTACCTAACATATTATTTGGTGCCTACCAAGTTTCTTTCACCACCTAATTCTAATGTCCTTCCCACTTTTTTAATAAAAAAAGAATTGGAAACTTGTATACTGCAGATTCAAGTGTGTCAAACGTGTATTTCACAAATAATCCCCAGAGCGATTTCTTGTATATAAAATGGTGGGTGGCATCTAGTTTTACTTTATTTATATCCTATTAGATAATGTTTTGTGACTGGCTACATTCTCCATGGGAACAATTTTGTGATGATGTCTCCAACACGTTGTTAAAATTTCTTTGTTAAAATCCAAGCTAGGAGATACTGAAGCTTGTCTTTTTTACCTTAGTTATTTGATACCTAAAGCTACTTGATTTTCTCTCTCTCTCTTTTTCTCTCCCCTCTCCCCTATCCACACAAACACACACACACACATTTACAAATATGCATATAGTTTTCTCTCTCTCTGTGTGTGTATGTTTGTATGTCTGTATTCTAGAAGGATGACATCTAAGCCCCACCATCTGTTACTTATTCAATGAAATTCACGAATTTCTGCCCTGCAACCATTTGGAGGCTGTTAACTTGCATTATGCTTGTCCTTTAGTTTGCTCTAAAGATTGTCTTACTCATATGTTGTGAATTTAGAAAAAAGTATTGTGTGTACCAATTTATTTTAACCTTATTGCTTTGTGTTGAAAAGTCTGTAAGGGGGCTTATGTCCTTTGAAAGCAGTAAATCTAAAAGTTTTTGTAATATAGAAATGCAATTGTTAGATCTTCTGAAACTATAAAAACCCTCTACTATTAGTTTTTTTATAGATAATCAATAAATCATTTTGATATATTAAGAGATGAGTGGAATAAAGGTTCTTGTACTTTCTAAACAGTGGGACAATGCCCAATTCTATAGCAAGAAACTTGAACAAAACTCTGACATAAAAAATATTTAGAATTTATTGAATTCAGTCATATTTATATAGAAAAATGTCAAAAACAGTATTTTGTTGGAGGTATAATAAGGGTAATACTTTAAGAACATTTTATAGCATCATATACTTATTAAGTTTTGAGAGAAAATAGTGGATTATATAAACGATTATGTGACAAAAGCTAAAATTTTCAGAGGATAATATTGAACATATCTAGTATATGAAATTCAGCTTTAACACTTAAAAATTCAGCAAATGACATAAATGAATGTTTCAGATGAGTTTATCCTTGATATCTTCAAACCCAAGTGTAATCATTGGTGTTTTAAATTTGTATGGGTAAAGTTGTATGAACTCTTAATCATAACTTCAACATTCTTAACTTGGTGCCCCTGTATGATTTGGGTTACAAGTCCCAGAATTTCTGCCTGTATCTTCTATTTGAACCAGTGTTTTCTAATCTTAGCAACTTTAAGATATGTGGACTTAAGCTCAGAGAAGTTAGGGTCCATATATCGTAAAGTTGCTCAGTGTGAGAAACATTTCTCTAAACTGTTGGCGGAGTATCTATCTAAAACTCAACGTCATGCCCTTTTAACTGAGTGAAACAATACATCACTGGGCAACAATTTTTGAACCAAGGCACTGCGAATAGACTGACTTAGAGAATGTGTTCAAAATCCAGGATTCATAATCCCCAAGAGAATGAAATTTGGGGAAATTGTGGCTGCTTCAGTGCTATTTGATGCTGCTGCAGTCACATAATCTTTATTTATAATGTTCTGTGACAGTTCCCAGGATATTTTGCAATGTCTTGCTCCCTCCCCTGCCCAGCATTAGCCACTTACCTGTCTGCTGGAAAGGGAAGGGTCAAGGAAGAAAGGAAGGAGGGGGGAACAGGAGGGAAGGAGTTCCTGTGCACCCTACTGGCCCATGCCATCCTGCACACTCCCCTGATCTATGCTGCACTCCAGTGACCCATGTTGAATGTCTATCCCAACCATGCTGAACCTTCTGTGCACCTCCCTGACTGATAGAATCCATTGCATATCTTTCCTGAAGTGTGTGGAACTCCTTGATTGATGCCTGTATGAACTCTTCCTGAGCCAGGCCACACCCTGTATGTCTTTCCTGACCTGCATGGCATCCCCATACACCGTCTCCAATTTGTGCTCCTCATGTGTGCTTTATCCATGTAGCCCCTTGGGAATCCCCACACCTTTCTGCTCCATCTTGTGCCTCCACACACTGTCCATGATTTTCACGGCACCTCTTGCATACCCCAAGCACATCCTTCCTGTCCCACATTCCGTTCACACATAATCTCCCACCAGCGCTGCACTTCTCACATATCCTTGTAACACCATGCATTCTTTTTGACCTGAATTATCCCGTGATGCCTTATTTGATCCACACAGTTTCTCTTACCCAATAACACCCATGCATCCTTGTTGACCTAGCTGCTGTGTACATGATGTACACCATTTCTAATGTACACGCATGTACCCTACTCAACTCACACTACCCACTCAGACATTTTCCCTGACCTACATGGAATGTCTGACACACACCCAAACACCATTACC